AGTTTAACTGCGTGGCCAGTGAGTTGATCAATCATGCCTCTGTAATGAAACTCCAATAAAAATTCTGGACATGGGCTCAGGTGAGCTCTCAATTAGTGAACACTTCAAGGTGCCTGGGGATGACATGTCCCGATCCACAGGGTGATGCCATGGAACCTTCCAGGCCTGGCCCTATGCATCTCTTCACTGGGCTGGGCTGTATTTCCACCCTTTGATAATAACACTGCAATCTTGTCACTGCAGTAGTTTCCTGAGTTTTGCCAGTTGTTCTGGCCAATTATGAAACCTGAGGGGGTTGTGGGAAATGCCAAATTTTTGGCCAGTTGGCCAGAAGCGCCAGTTCTGGGGAGCCTGGAACTCCTAGCTGGAAATTCTTGTGGGCACTGTGCCTGGCCTCTGACGTCTGAGCCGGTTCTGGGTGTCGTGTGTTGGGATGGCATTGCAGTCCCTAAAGCAAGTTCTGGGGAATGGTAGGAATGCATCTCTGCATCTATATTTCCATTCGGTCCCGGTCTAAAGCGACTGGTCCTCAGAATTGTCTAGGGGGTTTTTAGAAAGAAGAGCCTTCTGGAACCCTTCCTAAACAATTCTGATCCCGTAGGCCTGCAATGGGCCCTGGAGTCTGTATTTTTGAAAAGCTTTCCTAAGTAGTACTGAGGCAGAATCATATTTAAGACTAACTTTCCAGTGCAGCTAAGCATACCTCCCCAAAAGAGAAAATCTGTTTGAAAGAAGGGAAAATGCAGAAAATTGGGGAGGCCATTCCCCAACATTCTAACAAGTCAGGGAACAAAGGGGCAGCAGATAGAAAGTTCCATGCTGGGAGGTCAGTGCTGCAGCCTGCATCCTTAGGCTGAGGTCAGTCTATGAAAAGGCAGATTTGGTGACCCTGCATCCCTTTCTGGGTGCTGAGCTCTGAAGACACATGTGAGGCCTTCTTGCCTCTCCATATGTCCCCCCTTAGACCTTTCAGATTTCCTTACGGTCCTGACATCAGTGTCCTCTGATGGGATGCACATGCTCGGCTCGGTGACCAGCTGGAAGCCCTAGCTGCTGCTGGCAGGGGCCAGGACCCTCAGCTCTGAGGGTTTGAGTGGACGGACTGCATACCTTGCATCTGGGGTGAGGAAGAATGTCCTGAGAACTGAGTGGCGCACGAAGAATTCACGTGACAGCTTCTCAAGCTCGTGGCCTTCTCCTTCTCTCCTAAAATTGCCCTGAGTTGCCTCTGTCTCCCACCGGGGTGACAGTCACCTCTCCTCTCTGATCTCCCTGCTTCTCATCTTGCCCCTGTGCAGCCTGTTCTCCACACAGGGCGATCCGCTAACAAGTCAACCAGCCATGTCTTTCCCTTGCTTGAAATCCTCCAAGGCTCCCTTGCACTGTGAAAATTAGAGCAAGAGCCCCAGGGATCTGTCCCTGCCTGTTTCCTTCCCCTCACTTGGTCCTGTCATGCACCAAACCATAGCCACATGGTTTTTACTTTCTGTTTTTCAAAGAATTTCAAATTCTCTTCTCCCACAGGGCCTTTGCACAAGCTTTTCCCACAGCCTGCAACACCTGCCCTTCTTTCCTACACTTGACTTCTTCCCAGAAATTCGTCATCCTGTCTTAAATGTCACCTTCAGAGAGGCATTCTTCAGCCCAGATACATAGGTAGGTTGACCCTATTGTTGTCTGTGACATTATCTTCTTGATGTCTTTTTGGAATTGATCACACTTTTAAATATATATTTGTTTTTCCTGTCTCTTCCACAAGGCTGTTGAATGTTGCATGGACCTGTGTCCGGCACAGAGAATGTGCTTGTTTAGTAGAGTAATTAATATAAGCGGCAGCAGTGAATAACCCAGACAATGTCAATGGCTTATCTTGGAAAGATTTCTTACTTCTTTTTTTTTCTTCTTGAGACAGAGTCTCACTCTTGTCACCCAGTTTGGAGTGCAATGGTGCAATCCCGGCTCACTACAACCTCTGCTGGTCTCAAACTCCTAACCTCAGGTGATCCCCCCACCTCGGTCTCCCAAAGTGCTGGGATTATAGGTGTGAGCCACTGTGCCCAGCCAGAAAGGTTTATTTCTTGATCACATGACTTAGCCAGCACAGGTGGGTGTGGACCTCTGCTGTCCCCACTCCACCTAAAGAACCTTCTCCACCTCCTGGTCTCCTTACCTGGAATATGTGGCCTATGAGGTTTGCCAAAGAGGAGAAAATGGAGACATACTAGCTGTTATCAGCCTGGCAGCCACAGGCACACTTCTGTTCTTGGTCCATTTGCCTGACCAGTCCTATGGCTCCCACCTCCTGCAGGAGAGTGGAGAACAGAGGAGGCAGGAAGGACACTAGGAAGGGCGGGGAGGGAGGAGAGCCGCTCAGCTGGAGGGGGTAGGGGGGGATGCTGGGTAGGCACTGCTGGGAGGAGGGTAGGCACTGCCAGGAGGAGGAATGCCACTGGGTGGGCACTGTTGGGAGGAGGGACACTGGGTGGGCATTTCTGAGAGGAGGGTGTGTGCTGCTGGGAGGAGGGACGCTGGGTGGGCATTTCTGAGAGGAGGGTGTGTGCTGCTGGGAGGAGGGACGCTGGGGCATTTCTGGAAGGAGGGTGGGTGATGCTGGGAGGAGGAACACTGGGTGGGCATTTCTGAGAGGAGGGTGTGTGCTGCTGGGAGGAGGGACACTGGGTGGGCATTTCTGAGAGGAGGGTGTGTGCTGCTGGGAGGAGGGATGCTGGGTGGGCATTTCTGGAAGGAGGGTGGGTGATGCTGGGAGGAGGAACACTGGGTGGGCATTTCTGAGAGGAGGGTGTGTGCTGCTGGGAGGAGGGATGCTGGGTGGGCATTTCTGGGAGGAGAGGGCTGGGGAAGAGCCACACAGCCCGAGGTCTGTGGCGGGAGGAGATGACAAGAAGCAGGGAGAACACCAATGGAATAAACTCTGCAGCTTCCTTCAGATCATCCCTGCACAGGTGTTTCTCAAAACTCATGTTCAGTGAGAACAGCAGGCATAGACTCCGGACAAACCCTCCGTCTCTTTTCACGTTAGGTCGGCCCACGGGCTGGAGTGTCTGCGTCTTGGCTGGCCCGGCGGTATACATGTCAAGCAGTGCGCAGACTCCACAGCCATTCATAGGCACTGCTGGCCTCATGCCCCAGACGGCCCTAGGACGATGGGCCACTAAGGGAAATAAATGATAACGTGACCTCCAGCCCGCTTCAGGGCCGCTCTTGTTCCCCATGCCACCTCCCCCCTTCCTATGGGCTCCCAAGAAATGGGTGGCAGAGACCAGCCCGGTGATCTACCTCCTGCCTTCCCATGACTTCCTCCCAGTCCCGTGCATCTCATGTTTAATTATGAGGCTGTGGAAGGTGGTGATATTAATTATAGGGCTGAGATTGTGTTACTTGGAGAAAGTCAGTGCACATGTAATTTGATTTTCCTCAAGAAGGAAAATTATATTTTTTTCTGATCTCAAAAATAATTCCAGGGAAATAAATGTGTACAATCACACTTTGGGGTTTTAAACTAATGAGTTTCAGTTTTAAAAAATGTTAAAAACCTTTCTATTTGGAGAAAGCTGGAAGAATCCACTTTGGGATCTGGAGGTTCTCAGGAGCTGTGTCACCTGGGAGTGGTCTCGCTGGTCGGTAGCAGCTTTTGTATGAGAAGCGGCGTGGAATCCCGACTTAGGCAGGGAAGGCTTTGCTGAAGAGGTGAAAAGCCCAGCTTAGGTCTGGGTTTTCTACAGACCAGGAACAAAAGCATTGCTTGGCAAGATTTCTTATCTGCTCAGAGTTAACATGCAGATTCCAAAAGATAAGATGGGGAGAATTTGACATGTTTTGGTGGAAATAAGTCAAAAAAAGGCTAATATTAGCAATAACAATGATAATAACCCTTAATTGTGCCTGTGTTAGGTACCAGGCCCTATTCTAAGTGTTGCGAGTGTGCTCTGTCATTTAATCTCACGGAGTTCTGAAGGTGCTTCCCAGGTTTGTCCCCATCACAAAGATGAGGCAATCGTTCTGTTAAGACTGTCCTTGGGTCATTATGTCAGCAATGAAACCAGTGCTGCCATTATTAAACCCTTAGTGTGTGCTGGCATTTGTGTATGCATGCATATGTGTGTGTGCACACATGTGTGCGTGTACATGTGCACATGTGTGTGTTGTGTGCATGTGTGTGCACATGTGGAAAGAAAGTGACCTGTGTGGGAATGGAGAATTCCAACCCAGGAGGAGGCTGTGCCTGGGGCTGCCACGAGAAGTGGAAGCCATAGCCATGTTGGTGGCGCTTCGAGAAATGGGTTCCAAACGTACATTTCTTTACAGTTCTCTGTGTGACCTTGGGCAAGTCACTTCAGTTCCCCGAGCTTTGTTTTTAAAAATATGTTTTAAATGTATATAACCATGGACCATACATATGAAGAGAAAGGTGTGTGCAAACATTCAGGGAATAATCACAAGGTGGAGGTGTGCCCGCTCAGACCCAGAGCTGGCACAGGGACCTCTCCCAGAAGGCTGCAGGGCTTCCCTCCCAACCCTCCAACTGCTCACTTGCTGAGCCTGTGCTTATCTGTTCAGTGGAACTGCTGTGTGCCACGCTCCTCAGAAGTAAAGCCACCAGGCAAGTGTGACACTCTGTGCCCAGCTTGGTGCAAAGCCCCTTGTGTGCGCAATCTTACTGACCTCCCAGATAACATGGTAAGGTCAGTACTGTCACTTTCCCCACTTCGAAGATGAGGAGAGCACAAATTCTAGACGGAAATGGAGGTCATGCAGCGGAAATAGGATCCAGACAGATGAGTCCAATCTCGAGCCTGAATCCTTCCATTCCACACTACGCTTGAAGCTCCGTCTCTCTTCCTAGTTGATTCTCCCCACTTCCCCACCCCCAGATGTATCCCATCACTGCCTGGTGGACAGTAGCCATGACTGAGTTTTGGTAAAGGTTGCTGAATAATCAGGCTGCTGGGTAATGTTTCCATTTCACCTCTCCCAGTCATCATGGGGTCCCATGAAAAAGGCAGCTCAAACTGTAAATGACTCAAAGGAAGGACAGAAAGGTCTTCTGTTTGCACCTACCCTAAGGATTTGGGGTAGACAATGGGAATTTACTAACTACGAATTCCACTGCTTTCCTTGCTGAAAGAGAGGCGTGGAATCAACGCTGAGTGAAGGCATCAAGTTTAAGCTGCTAATTACTTCCCGATCATGCAGAATAAAAGCTACATCCCTTGAAATACACCAGGCAGCTAAACATAATCTTTGCCTTTGCCTGGTGTTGGTTAAGGAATCCAGATGTTACTGCAATAACCACTCCATAAACAAACAGAACGCCCAGCTGGGAGAACTGGCTTCTCAGCATTCGTCCCAGCAGAGGCTCTTCCGGGGCTGGGTTCTGACGGCTCCCCTGTTTTAGCACAGCTCTTGTTGGCAGGCAGATGGCTACGAGCACAGCCACAGGCTGAAGGTGAGTCCAGCACAGAACTTCCTGATGGTGAACAGAAGTAAATATGGGGCCCACCCAAAACCTTTGTCTGCTGACTTCTTAGCAAATGGAGGCAGCTCCAGGCTCTGGAGAGTTTGGGTGTAGGAGACCATGACTTGAGCAGACTGATATAAGTGGAAGGCAAACATATTTAGATGGTACAACTTAATTTAGATTTATCAATGCTAATATGGAAAAAGCTAGTACTTACTGGGGCTTATTAGATTTTTAGTCTGAATCCTCACAACTTACGAGGGTGTTCATTTTACAGACTGATCTCGTGTGATTTCCCTAAAGATGCCCGATAAGTATATGGTGAAAGTAGAATTTGAATACAGCAGACCTGGCTCTGCTACTTTCTGTGTTTCTGTTTGGTTCAAACCAGCCTTTCTTCTTTCAAAACAACTTCAATGGAACTCATGGTTTTGGAAAATAAACTTGATTTTGAGATTCAGACAATAAGTGCATTTTTAATGTTTATTCTTTTATCTTGATCTATTTATGAAATGATATGTGCTCACTCAGTGTCAACATTTCAGACAACACAGACAGTACAATGACAAATTGGGGATCAGCTCCGATCTCAGCCCCCCATTTAATATGTTGCTGAATATTCTTCTGAACAGAGTTCATCCCACACTGTCCCCTGGTACAAGACGCTCCAAGGGGCTGAAGAGAGGGACTTCTGCAGTCAAGACATCTGGGACACTCTTGGACAGTCACAATGTGCATTTGGGTATTAAAGGCTCTGAAAAGTTCTGCACCAAATAAACCCCTGGATTGGCTTGATCCAATGCCACGTTTCCAAAACCTACTTGCCCATGGGACACCTTAGTCCATAACACAGGTTGGCATTTCTTCTAGATTGTGTGCTCTGAAAAACACTGGTCTCACAACACCGTGCCTTCATCCAGCAGGTATTTACCAAGCAGGGACTTTGGGCCAGGTCCGTGTTAGGCTCTGGAGGTGGACCAGTCAACCCTGGCCCCCATGGTGTCACTTCTCATGGGAGAGGCAGCACAGAAGTCATTGAGAAAATGAAGAAACACACAGGCACTTTCAGATGCTGAGAATGACTACCACGAGAAAAAAGAGCTCCAGGTGGTGTCATTTTGAGACAATCTTCTCAACAATGGGACAGGATGAACCATGCAAACTTTGGGGGCTATGATGGTTTTAGGAAAGAGCTAGAGTGAAGAATCCTTTGACATATATTGATACAAATAAAGATACATGTGTATAATTTTATGTAATTGACATCACATTATATGCTGGCACCTGCCTTTTGTAAATGTCACAAATGAAATGCCTTAATGAAAATGTCAAAGGTAATATTACCAATCAATAAATATATTTCGCCATCATGTTTAATTTCTGCAGAGCAGTTATTCAAGCACATACTGCATTTTTCTTAGTCACCCACTGGTGGGAATAGAAAGTTTTCTCATGCATGCATTTTTCCCACTTCTGAAATGATCTCCTTAGAATAAATTCCCCGAATCGGATTGCTGGGTTCAAAGGCATGAACATTTTACATTTTTATACAATAATGTCAAACCACCTTCCATAAATGATGCTTACTTTACTTTCCCTCCAAGACTGCATGAAAATGCCCATTTTCCTAAATGCTTGCTATGACTGGTTTCCAACTACATTTTAATTCTTGTTCAATCTGATAGGCAAAAAATGATATTTAATTTTTATTTGATTGATAATGAGCTTGAATGTGCCCATTCGCCTTTTGCATTTATTCTTTTATGAAACATCTGTTCATATCTTTTGTCAATGTTCCCATATATTAACTTGTTTTCTTATTAATTTGTTTAATTAATTTGTTTCTGTGTATATTGTGAATATTAGCTTTGGTGATAAGAATTATGGAATTGTTGTTGCCTTTAGTTTTGCTTATCATGTTTAAAGCCATTCAGAGATGCTGTAAATGTGTATGTTGTTAAATTTATGTCTTATTTTTTGTTTTCTGATGCTCATATGTTTAGAATGGCCAAGCAACCCCAACTTATGATTACATACATATTCTCCCATATTTGCTTTTAGCATTTTTTTTTTGATGTAAACCTTTGTTCTTTCAGGAATTTACTTTGCAGTAAGAGATGGGCTGGCTTCCAGTTTTATGTTTCCCAAATGGTAATTCAGCTGTTCCATTTCCATATCCTCCCTTATTAGAAATGACCACTGTATTATGTTCTAAAATATCTACATACTTGCGTCTCTTCCTATAATCTCAGTTCGTCTCTTTGAGCTATCTTTTGATTCCTTTTTCAAAACACAGTGCTTTACTGAACTGTCATCATCTTATACATTTTTAATACCTAGCAAGAAGAGTTTCTCAATGCCACTCTGTTTCAGAGTTTTTCTGATGGTTGTAAGATGTTTATTCTTCTAGATAAACTTTAGAATCACTCTTTTTGTCCAAGGTAAAATATATTCCACATTGAGATCATACTGAATGTATAGACTAATTTGGGAAAAAAGAAATGTTTTTATTGCATTGAGTCTTCTTATCCAATAAAAAAGACATGAATTTCCATGTATTGAAATCTTTTAAGAAGATCTTCACTGAGACTTATTTTTGGCTTTTCACGTGTCCTGCAAATACATTGTTAAATTTATTTTGAGGTATTTTAAGGGAAATGATTTTCTAAAGTATGTATTTTCTAACTTGTTATAATTTACATGTGAGATAGTCATTGATTGTTGTGTATTATTTATAACTGATCATATTACTGTATTTTTATTGTTTTAATAGTTTTTCTCTTATTTTGGGTTTTCCTGGAATACAACCTTATTATCTACAAATTAGGATTGTTTTGCCTTTTCCAGTGTTCATGACTGTTTTATATTCTTGTCTGATTGCTTTGTTCAGCACTTCTAGAATGAAGTCATGCGATACTAGTGATAAAGGTATTCTTAACTTGTGACTCTCATAGAAAGCTGATGGTATTTCTACAAGTAAATTTGATGGTAATTTTTGGATTGGAATGTGCCTTAAAAGAATTCTACAGTGCTCACACTTGGAATCCCAGCACCTTGGGAAGACAAGGCGGGTGGATTGCTTAAGCCTGAGTTTGAGACCAGCCTGGGCAACATTCCAAAAGCCTGTCTCTACAAAAAACAAACAAATAAACAAAAGCAAACAGCAACAACAACAAAAAACAGCAATTAGCCAGGCATGGTGGCACACACCTGTAGTCGCAGCTACTCAGGAGGCTGAGGTGGGAAGATCACTTGAGCCCTGGAGGTGGAGGTTGCAGTAAGCTGCGATGGCATGGCGCCACACCACTTCAGTCTGAGCGACTGAGTGACAGCCTGTCTCCAAAAAAACAAACAAACAAACAAAAAAAAAAAAAAAAAAAACCAAACAAACAAAATCTTATAAGAAGGAATTACTGATAATTTCAAGTATCAGAAATGGATGTTAAATCTTATCAAATGTCTTTGTGACTTATAAGAAATGATCATATGCTTCTTTTTCCTTTGCCCTATTAACGTTATGAGAGTATTTTTAAAAGTTTCCTAAACCATATAGCTCCTGGATTTTGCGAATCAGTTCCTCACCATCGTGGTGTGTTATTTGCTAGCGATTTTCTCTAGCTTTTTGCATGAACTTTCTCTAATTACCTTTTCTGCAGGGAATCTGTGTCAGGTCCTGGCATTCAGGTTATGCTGACTGTGGAGAAACCATTCAGTGACGTTTTGTCTTTCTCAATGTACTGGAATTGTTTCCATAGTACAGAAATAATCAGTTCTTTGAAGATTTGAGAAAATAGGACTCTGGAAAGCAATAACTTCTATCCCACTGTTGGGAGTATAAATGGTTTCAGCCACTTTGGAAAGTCTTTTGTTAGTATTTAGTTAAGTCAAAACATTTATACCCTTTGCTCCTGCAACTCTACTCCCCTATCTGGGCCCTAGAGTAGGAGTCTCCAGTGTTTTTGGCACCAGGGACGGGTTATGTGGAAGCCAATTTTTCCACAGACTGGGTTGGGTGGGGGATGGCTTCAGGATGATTCAAGCACCTTACATGAACTGTGCCCTTTATTTCTATTATTATTAGCACATTACATTTATTGTGCACTTTATTTCTATTATTATATTGTAATATACAATTAAATAATTATACAACTCACCATGATGTAGAATCAGTGGGAGCCCTGAGCTTGTTTTCCTGCAACTGGCTGGTCCCATCTGGGGGTGATGGGAGACAGTGACAGATCATCAGGCTTTAGATTCTCATAAGGAGCTCGTAGCCTGGATCCCTTGCATGTACAGTTCACAGTAGGGATCACGCTCGTGTGAGAATCTAGTACCGCTGCTGATCTGACAAAAGGCAGAGCTCAGGAGGCCATGCAAATGACAGCGAGCAGCTGTAAATGTAGGTTAAGCTTTGCTCACTTGGCAGCCACTCATCTCATGCTGTACGGCCCAGTTCCTAACCGGTTCCGAACCTGTACTGGTTCACAGCACAGGATTGAGGACCCTGCCCTAGAGAAACTCTCTTATGCATTCTCAAGAAATGGTATGTGTGAGATTTTTCATTGCAGTGCTGTTCATACTGGTTAACAAATCAGAAATGACTTAAATGTTCCTCAGTAGGGGATTGGATTAGGTAATTTATGCAATGGATTACTCTGCCACAGGTAAAAGGATTAAATCAGGTCTACCGATATCAACCTGGAAAATTCTCAAAAACTTAGTATGGGGGAGGAGACGGTGAGAAGAAAGTGAAAAAGAACATGTTCATCATGATACAATTTGTGTAAAAATAACAGGAAACATTGTTATATATAATTTTGTTATATAACAAATAACAGGAAACAATGTTATAAATAATTAAAAAATAACAGGAAACAATGTTAGATATGATTTTGTGAGCCTAAGTGTGGATAATATATACACATATATCATCAAAAGCACAGAAGAGAGCATGTTCATCACCTTCAAGAATCAGGGTTTCCCCTGTGGAGGGAGGGAGCGGAGACAAAATGGTAACAGAGAAATGGGGCTTCAAAGGTCTCGTAGTATTTTATGCATTAAGCAAAAAAGCTCTGTTGTAAATACAGAAACACATGATGTCTTTGAAAGCTGTGGGGTGGGGCATAGATATTTGTTATATTAGCCACACTTCGTTTATGGTCTTTATGAATTTCTATCTGGTTTCTCCATTAAGGACTAGAGAGGTATTTCAAAGGCTCCTGTTGCGTTTCTACCAATTCTGTCTGTTCATCTTCCTTTTAAAAATTGGAGGTGGAGGCTGTACACTGACAATTGTTACTCTTGAGTTAGACAGCACAGTGCTCAGCCCGGGGCAGATGTCCAACAAACGCTAGATGGCGTCATCATCCTCTTGGACACTTTGGCTCTGGGTGCATCCCTCCAAATCCTCTATTCCCTTGCCTTGGTGTGAAGCCAGTGCCCTTGGAGCGAACCCCCTTGGCTCCCAGCTCTTCCCAGGTTGAGCTGGGCTTGGCACCCCATCGAGAAGTTGGAGCACAGGCCCTTGTGCTTGGTGGGAACACTATGTGTGTCCTTTGTTGACTCCTTTGACTTACAACATGATTCCTAGGTTACGCTCCAGGACTGCCTGCCGGTGAGTGAAAATGACAGGGCTGTCTCTTCTTACCTGGGTCCTGCCGTTCACCTGACCTGCTGGGATGGGGCACCAGCCCAGGCAGACAGTTTATCTTTCTCCCTGGTAACCTGTGGTCCAGGCCCCATTCTCACATCTTCTCTTACTTGTCCATGAGCTAAAGTGACTCACCTCACCTGCACCTTTCACTCTGACCTGATTTGGATGACTTCTGGTGGATTTCCATC